TCCCGCAGCTGATCGAGAGAGCGAGGAGGGAGAGAGACCGACCAACACTTCATGTGTCCCGTATGATTTTACATTTGTCTTGAACTTCTTCTTATTTTAATTTAGTTCAGAGTTGTTGGATATAACGATCTGCTGACGGCAGACGCAGTGATGATTGTATTGGTTAAATTAAGCTAACTCCCCACTTTATATGATTAGAAAAATTAACCCACTGTATAAAACAGTTTTTATCTTGTGTAAACAAAATAATTTATTTGTGATCTGTTACTTTTGTTGTAATTGTGAAATATCAAATATCTTTAAACTTAAATGTGTGTAATGTGGCAGTGTTTGTTTTCTTTCTCTCACCTTGAAGTCCTGAGTCTGTCGCCATCAGCCTCTCAACTAGATCAGTCCTGTTCATGTCCAGTAAAACCTCTTTGGTCACCTCCACAGGCTGCTGGTTCATCACCATCAGATGCACCAGTTCATCTGGAGTTGTTGCCCACTTCATGTGGTGCCACTGGATTTGTGTAAAACTCCTCTGGAAGTATGTGAGCTGCAGCACCCACTTAAATTTCTCAAACTCCATAAATTTCAAACCACTCAATGTTTCCGAAAGAACATGTTCCACATCTTCCTTTACCGTCTAAAAATACCAAAGACAATAAACAAATTAGTCATTTCTCCAATGGTAAAATCAAAAAGGAACATCTCTGGGGATTTAATCAGAGATGTAGGGAAGTTATCGGAATACTTTCTCCATGATCACTCGAGATTTAATGCAACAGGTAAAATTATTTTATTGGCCATGTTTGCAGGTTTTTTTTTAAAAACTTTTTTTTTTAAGTTTGTATTTTGCTGTAGCAACATAACAGAGGAGATCCCCTCTATCCCTTCACCCTTAAATCTCTGTTAAACTGAATACAACTACATGATTTAATGCAACATGTGAAATCTTCCACAGCACTTAACATGAAGCATTTCCTTTAAAACACCTGAAATACAGAACTCAAATACTACAGAGCTGAACTTTACAACCAATTATAGCCATTTGTTTTGGTTTGTATCATAATTTGCAATGTTCAAAGACTTGGATATTTTTTAATCTGCATCAGACAAATCAGGCTGTGAAATGTAAAAAACGGACTCACTTTTTCAAAGACTGGAGGTTGATGCTCATCCACTGAGGAGAAAAGACATTTGTGACTACGACGATTATCTTATTTTAATGAGACGTTGATCTACTTTAATAAGGTTCAGCTGCTTTACAAGGTAACAACAACATAGCCTAAAGAAATCAAATTCAACAAATGTATTAATCTTATTTATCAAAGATTTGTTTTGTTCTTATTTGTCTTACCTTTGGGTTCTGAGCTAGTCTCTGAAAACATCTGCATGAGATCAACTCTGTGCAACTTCTTTAAAATCTCTCTGGTCTCATCCACAGACTGTCGCCCGTAGGTCTGCACCATCACATCCAATATTGCTGTACGGTCGTTTGAGTATCTCAATAAATGTGGGATGTCTTTGGAGTCCTTTTGAAAGGCCAACTGCAGAAACTTGAATTTCTCGAGCTCACCGTCATTTAAAGAATGCAGGATTTCCAAAAGCAGCTCTTTAACAGCTGCCATTGTTGCTGCCTGGAATAGTTAACACACTCATGGGACATTTGCTTAATCAACTAGGACAATTTTAAATGTGTCACTTAAGGTGTTGAGCTGGGTGTTTCTGACAGATATTCTTTTTATTATATTGATTATTGTTGAAGGAAAAAGTCAGAAAAAGATTATGTGCTGACATTTCATCTCATAAGCACTGTCAAAGATATTTATGAATCTGCTGCACAACATTACTGCTAAAACGCTCAACCTGAATAAAGCTTCAGCTTTGTGAAAAACAGATTAATTCAAATTTCATCAAATTTCATCAAAATGTTCATGTTCATGTGTAAATCAGACAGATGTGAAGTGATTACTCACTTTCTCCAACAGGACAGAGCGTGGTTCATCTGAGCGTTTCTCTGAGGAAAAAAGTGGAAAAAATAACTCATGAGAGATTGATCTTAAACATGACAAAGATGTTATCGCAAATAGTTTAGTAATGATTTGTGAGGTACAACATAAGTCAAAAAGATATATTGGTAAACCAACTGATAAGTCTTAATATCTGTGCACTATGAATCTTATTATAAATCATGTAACATATACAGATGTAACTTAAACACTTGTGAAATAGGTTTAGAGACAGTTTTATGATTTTAAATTATCTTGGTCTTCATGGTCATACTTTCGAAACTTGAGCTGGTCTCCAACAACTTCTGCACCAGATCAGTTCTGTTTATCTGCTTTAAAATCTTCATCGTCTTCACAACAGAGTTTTGGCCAAAAGTCAAACTGTAACACACGCAGTGTCCTGATGTTTGTCTGCCACAGCAAACGAGGGTGTATGATTTATATGTTTTGGCCTTCATTTCTGATCAACTGCTTGAATTCCTCATACTGGTCTTCTGTTAGGCAAGCTATAATTTCCACAAGCAGTTCTATAACAGATGTCATCTTTTCCACCTGAAAAATTAAAAGAACATGTTCAAGGTGCAAAAAATGAGTACAGATATTTCTTTTCACATTTCATCAATTGTCTTTTTTAAGACTGACCAACGTACATCTGCCACATGAACAGAGGTTGTCATACTATAGTTATGTTTACATTCAAGTACTTTACTTTTTTTACAAACAGCTTATATTTCTGCATTGAGTAACATACGGTTGTTACCTTTGATTTTCTTTTTTAAGATTTATTTTTGGGCTTTTTGTACCTTTAATAGATAGACAGGACAGTGGATAGAGTCAGAAATCAGGGAGAGAGAGAGAGTGGGGAATGAGGGAAAGGAGCCACAGGTCGGATTTGAACCTGGGTCGCCACTTGGAGGACAAAGCCTCCATACATGGGGGCGCGTCCACTAACCTTACCTTTAATTTTCTATTAAGTTTTTGTTTAATTCTAATTCCATGGTGTACATGTGTCTAAATCTGTGCAATGAAAATCAGATAACTGTATGAATCTTCCAAGAGAGTGTCTGTTAAAGGGGCGGAGCAAGGGGTGGCCAGCCCAGGAGGGACCTATGTTTAAATTATGTATTTGTGCTGATAGTAGTATGTGCACTTTCTTTGTATGTCAATGTAACACATTTCATTTTGCTAGTATTTTTAAAGGCAGAAAATGCCATTTTTTTGATCCAGCAGATGTCGCCTTTGAGCACCAGCATGAAACCAAAACAACTTGCGCTGCATTGTTGTGTTAGCATGCTAATGCTAGCGATTTTTATTATGATCGTATCTTCACACTGCATGTAAATTTACCTACGTCATGATCTAGAAACGTAGTTAAGCAGTGAGTACAGTATGTTATTCTTCTTTTCTCTAGTCCCTCAATTAAACAACTTTTATACGCGAGGGGATGAGTCGGCCGGCCGTCCGCGATGTAAACAAACTGAAGATAGGACTCGGAAAACATCACAGACAGCGGGACTCGGGTGTTACACCCATTGTAGACAGTCATGACTCACAGAGTTATTTTCAGAGGATTGATTTCTGCTACATTTAAGTGTGAAAAATTGCATATTAAGCCTTTTAAGGAAGAATGTGTGACATTTTAACATAAATACAGCAGAAATCAAGTATATCCTGTAAATGTCTGTTTGAGTTGTGACTGTCTGCAATGATGAGAAGCTCGAGTCCTGCTGGCTGTGTTGTTGTCGGGGTTGTGTTTACATCATGTTTACATGGACGGGACGCCTTGTGCATAAAGCTGTTTAAGTCGGTCGAGAGAAAGAAGAAGAATTTACTCACTGCTTATTTGGATTTCAAGTAAGTGTGTTTAGAATCGGTCATTCTGTGTCAATTTATGTTTAATGTGAAGCTACGAGCTAAGTAAAGTGTGCTAACATTAGCCTGCTAACACAAACAATGCAGACCACAGGCAAGTGCAGCTCGAGCAAAGGACAAGTTTGTCCGCCACTTGCACTTAGTGGTTGTTAATGCTTTGAATTGCCCCCGGGGACAAGTAACGTTTTTTAATTTAATTTCATTTTTTTATGGTGCGTTCTAATTCCTAACCCCTTCATGGGAGGTGAGTGGAGAGGTGTCGTAGGTGTGCTGCTGGAGGAGAGCAGAGGATTCAGAATAGCAGAGATGTTGCCAAACAGCAGTTTGTTTTGGTTTAATGCTGGTGCTCAAGGACGACATCTACTGGATAAAGAAAGTCGCACATTCATCCTTTAAATTGGATCTTCCTTTTGAGTGCTTAGAGAAATAAACTAAGATTTAAATGTTTTAATCTCTTTTTAAAGTAAAATAAAAAAAAAAAATATTCAGGAATATAACATCATATAACATGTGGAACTTAAATGTAAGGAGTTAAAGAAGATATGATTAGTGGAGAAAGAAAGGGAAAATAAATGCCGTTTATTCAGAGAAAAGAAGAACAACACACTCACTGCTTATGTGGATTTCACCTAAGTGTCTTTAGATCACCTTCATTCTGTCAATTTATGTGCAGTATGAAGCTACGAGTTAACCAAAGTGTGCTAACATTAGCCTGCTAAAAACAATGCAGATTCGAAGATAGAATATTTAAATGTTTTAATGTTTTTTTTAAGCAAAATAAATAAATAAATATTCAGGAATATAACATCATATAACATGTGATACTTAAATGTAAGTAGTTAAAGAAGATATGATTAGTGGAGATATAAAGGGAAAATAAATGCTATTGATTCAGTGTACTTTGCTTTATCAGCTCTTTGAGAAAATATTGATTAAAACAGCTCAATGTTACTTAAAGGATCATATTTTTATCAGCATTAAATAAATAACGTTAGTTTTTGTACCTTTAATTGAAATGTTCGAGGTGGACTCTATAATAGTGACGCTGTGTGAAGTCAGAGTGATGTGACATACTCACCCTCTGGGTCAGTGAAAGCGGCTCTTCATCCATAGAGTGTTCTTCTGAGGAAAAAATAAATGAAAAGAAAACCAATTTTATTCTATCTTTCTGCATCCCTCTATCCCACTTTCCAAACCCAACACAGATTCAGCAGACGGCTGTTCATCATGAGTCTGGTTCAGCTCGAGGTTTCTGCTCTTAAAGGATTTTCCTTTCCACTGTAACTTTGCTAATTCAATTCAATTGAAAAAACTTTATTTTATCCCCGGGGACAATTCAAAGGCACACAGAGCAGTAAATGTTTCTTGGTGCTCGTGATGGATTAATGTTGGGTCTTTGTAGATAATATAACAAAGAGTAAGATATTTACCTGCTCTTTTTGTAAAGTGACGGTTTTGCTTTCCTCATTAATTGAAATATAGAACTTTTAAAATGCCTTGTGTATTGTGTGAAGACTTTGTGTTTGTCTAACCTTCGGGCTCCCGTCTGTCGTCAAGCAATCTCTTCACGAGATCAGTCCTGTTCATCTTCTTTAAGATATTTCTGGTCAACTTCACACACTCCTCCTCGCTGTATCTCTTCACCATCAGCTCCTCTATTTTCTCTGGGCATATTGATTTTAGATGGAGTTCTGAGGAGGGGGACACCTTTCTCCAATTCAACATGTAGGCAGAAATCCTCAAGCTGCCCAGAACTCAAATGTTCCAATGTTTCAGACAGCATCCTACGTGTCGTCATTTTTTCAAGCTGGAAAACAAAAGATAACATCACAGAATATGCAGATTATGACGAGTGCCATTTACAGAAAGTACATATTTGATTGGATCCTTTTATTTCATTTCATAAATACCAGAGTTATTGACAAGTAGCATGTCATCACACTCTGATTAAACATTTTTAAAAATAGCTCGCACACGCACACGCACACGCACACGCACACACACACACACACACACACAACACACACACACACCACACACACAGCTCGGTTAGGGCGAGGTAGAGGAGAGGTTGCCGTCCTCCTACTATCTCTCTCTCTCTATCTCCTCTCTCTGGGAGGTTTACGTGGTTCGTGGTTTCGAATATCCAACTTAAAACCAACTTCAGCTTCCTGTTTAATGTACTCTGTTGAATTATGGCATTTAGCAAAAACCCTTATATTTGCAGTCTATCTAGTTAGATGTTACTTAACCACTTCCTCTGTTTGAGCAAAACATTCCTCCACTTACCGAAAATCGTCGACGTCTTAGTAAGCTGACAAACCTAAAAAACAAGATTAAAATCCAGTCACATTTCTACTTTTGCTCGTCCATTATCCAGAAGTCGAAGACAGCCCTGTGCTGTGTAGTTTTTGTCTCTAGTCTGATGCATGACAGTTTGACATAACGGCGAGTTCATGGGTCTTAACTAACCCAGCCCCTTTGCTCCTCAAAGCCAACACCCATTTTACTCGACTTACAATAAAATATTCAGCTGTCTTAAAGAATCTGAAAATAAAAAATGATTGTGCAGTACACTGTTACATCACATGAATGAACAAATGCATTTTATTATTTTATTATTTTCATAGCTACTGAGATTGCATGAGGCTCTCTTTTAACTTACTACCTCTGTAAAATGAACTGTAAGCCTTAAAAAATAGTACACATTACCAAAATGACTTAATGAACTACTTCATCATCATTTTGGCTGTCCTCATCTTGGTCTGAAGGGAGCATGATGTGAACCTCCGTTGAGGACAGTGTGCATGAACTTTGTTACACCTCTTGTCTCTTGTCATTGTTAAACCAGGAAGCTATGCCCTCATACATATAGCACCCTGCTTTATCAATGATTTGAAACATTAAACTGTGATGGACTGAATTACACATCAAGCTGTATTGAAACACTTTCAAGTAGGGACAGGTACCATAAACCCATCAGACAACAAGATCCATCTTACATAATACAGCAGGATGTTTACTCATTGCTTATGGCCTCATGAAAGTTAAATAGTAAAAATAGATAAGAGGTGTAGTTACCTCCAGTTATTAGAGCCCGACCCATTAATCTAGCCAGCCGATAATTCATTGTAATGAAATAATAATATAGGCTATCTATGTAATATTTATGAAGTTTGCAGTCACATAGTTGTTATCACCACTCGTGAATGACAGGGAGGGACCACGGACTGGCTAATGTGCACACAGGCTGGGACATTAGATCGAGGCTTGAACACTTTCAATACAGAGAGTGCATGAACGCGCATTGTTTTCAAAACAGTAGAAGCCCTGATAGTCTGAACCTCTCTGCTTTTCTATCCAGAGGCCTGTTAGACAGACAACTGTTGTCTTTTATGTAGTTAATTTACAATTTAGCAAATTGCTTGTGCAAACGTGGAAACGTGGCGTTTGGAAACCTATATTACCGTCACCTATTGGACCAGTGTATGAAACAAAACTGGATAAGCACCTACAGCAACCTTTGTTCCTTTTAAAAATGTAATTAATGAATTCATTGTATGTTTTACAAGATCAGAGCCTCATCTGCGTGGAGTTTGCATTTTCTCCCCGTGATAATGATGCAGTTAGAATTACTACAATAGAAATAACCACAACAACAAGTGTGCCAGCAGTGAGAGCTAAATTTACTAACCCTTGCGCATAGATTGCATCCCTTCTACTGAATTGATACTCAAATTTTCAACTGCACTTGAAGGCACCATTTCCCCCTCATGTTTCCGATTGTCTCTCGATAGATACATTAACGCGGTTGATCCGGAAATAAGTACTGTTGACAATCGGTAGACCGCGGTCACTGAAGACGTGGGGCACCCCTTGGTGAAAAATGGCCCCCAAAACCAAGAAAGCTGCTTTAGCAGACATGCTGGAGAATCTGTCAGAGTCTAACTTTGACACAAGTTTTGCAGCCATCTGTTGGACCGCAGGGAGGAGCCGCGCGTCCGGCGCAGAAAGTGGAGGGAAAAACGCCTTCCTACAGATCGCAGACGTCCGGTTTCTACCTTTACCGAGGCTGGAGCTGTAAAGGTGGCTGTGGAGTTGTTGGGATGTGCTAACTGCGGGCAGGAAGTAGAAGAACTCGGTAAATATGTGACTATACCTAAAGGGTTTCATGCAGAACACATATGAGGTCGGGCTTGCTTTGCAGGACATTCAAAGTGGCCTATTATCACAAAAATCAGCAACAATTAGGTTACAACGTTAAGAAATATGTTTTTTTTTTGTGCAATCATACAAAATGTAGTTGAAATAGATATAGTTTATAACACAAATTAAAGTAGCCTTTTTGAACGAGCCCGCTCCCTTTTTACTTTCGCTTTCGCTGACCAAAGATCGTCTATAATAAAGATTAACCACCACGAGATTTCCTCCATTCCAAGCAGTAGCTCTCATTTCCCTCTTAAAAACGGTCAAATATATTGGATTTTCAGTAAAGAATTACATGTGATATTTCAGTGATAGTCCCTCCTAAACTTTTGTTGATTTAGTCTCAATGATTTTGGAAGTGATGGTTCTACTTCAAGTTTAATCTCTTTATAATATAATTCTTATCGTGATGCAATAGCGATACATTGCTCCCTGCTTCTCAAGAGGTGGCTACACCAACAAGGATTATAGATACAGATAAAAGAGCAGTGTCATTAAAAATACACAAATGCCCAATGGAAGCACTCATAGTGTGTGGATTTTCTTTGACATATGTTTTAATTTATTAGGATTCATGTTTAAAAAAAAAAGATTTGTGCTTTTGAGTATTTCAAATCTTATGGGGGCGCTGGTGGCTCATTGGTTAGTGCGTGCGCACCATGTACAGAGGCTATAGTCCTCCAAGTGGCCCAGGCTCGAATCTGACCTCTGCCTCCTTTCCTGCATGTCATTCCCCACTCTCTCTCTCTCCCTGATTTCCGACTCTTTCCACTGTCCTGTCTCTACAATAAAGGCACAAAAAGCCCACAATAAACCTTTAAAAAAAAATCCTGTGAACATCCAAAACTTAGAAATCCACTGATGTATTTTCACTGACTAATACGTTTACAGTAGAACTCCAAACCTTATGAGATTGAGAAATGAACCTTCAAACCGACAACCCTTTGGAAGACACTTTAGCTCAGTTGAGGGAGCAGGCCGCCCCATGGGCTACAGTCCTTGAGGAATCGACTGCAGGTTCAACTCCAAAGCTCAGACCTGCGATGCATGTCGACTGCAAATTTCCTGTCTCTTCAGCTGTCCTATCAATAAAGGTTAAAAAGGCCAACAAAGAAACATCTTTTAAAATCTTGAAAACTCATTTATTGGCAATTCAAAAATGAAAACAATCGACTTGCCATGAAAAGTTAATTAAAATAAATGTCCTTAATTTGGTCCTGGTGGTCCACCATGAAGAGAAGGGACTTCACCTCTCTATAGCATAATCCAGGTTGCATCTACAGATGTACAAACCTCACAGTTATGTTTGTTTTGTTTCCATCACATACTGACACTGTGTCCTTTTATTGCAGTTACAGTGATAGCTGGACTTGACTCAAAACCGGGACCAGAGACAGTGAGTTGTTTTCCTGTTTTCAGTTTGTCCTGTGGGAAGGGGGAAGGGGGGGAGTCTAAAACCAATCCAATCCTTTTCTCTGTTTTTGTTTTTAGCTGCAAGACCCTCAGCCGGAGCAGCTGGTGTAGATACCACATCAGATGGTAGGAGGACACGTCGTATAAGGCTGTCATGAAAGAAGTCATGGATCATATCCTTCAGGATCTGACTGTAAAGGTCACTTTGTAATTCACCACAGAGGTGGATATTTCAAACAAGCCAAACTTTTCTGATCTAAACAGAGTTCAGGCTCAAGAAACAGAAAGCTGATAATTGCTACTAATGAGTATAAAGGAATATTTTGACGAGTTGAAAAGATGTGCATTATTTTTATGGGTTAGATGAGAATATTTATACCACTATGATATAAGTAGAGTTGGCTTCAGCTAGATTAGCATCAGGACTGGAGGTAAGGGCAAACATCTTGATGGCTAAAAAAAAGCTGTCTTCCAGCAGATCTACAGCTCACTGGCTGACAAGTAGGGCTGCACAATATTGGAATAAAACAGACAGTGTGGTATTTTTTCTCTTTATGATATATGTTGGATATGAAAGTGTAAGTAATGCTAGATAATCAAAGGTAATCTACACACAAACAGTAATTACAGATGATACTTTTTAAAGCACTCTTTAAGAATAAGATCGCTCCTCTTGTAATATAGAAATGAGAGAAACCCTTTTCTCTTCTTCTAAACAATACATTTTCTTTCTTTTCAACAAGTGAAGTCAGGCACAGAAAATAGTGTCTGATCCTACCTTCTTTCTTCACTCTGAGTTTCAGCTTTTCCCCTCTGGGTGAAAATTCAGGGTCCCTCAGACCCGGCTGAACAGTTACAAACATTCATTTGTGCCAATGTCCGTTAATATTCTGAATGACAGGTAATGTAGGATGTGCCCAGGGTCCGTGCAATATGCCAAATGTTACTGCTGCAAGAAGGTGTTTTTATGTATATGGAATTGTTACATGAAATGCTTTATGTTTTGTATGATCTATATTTATGTATTTTCACTCTCTTGTAACTGCAGGTCAGAGTCCAAAAATGATTTCCCTTTGGGGAAGATAAAGTTGATCTTGATATCTTGATCTTGAAGTCGGCCCCTGCTGGCCATTACAAAGAATGCATGTCTAATGCACCTCCATGTTGGCTTATTTTGGGGGGTTTTTAGAATATGCAAACTATTTTCTGCAGACTAAAGTTATCAAGTTGGCTTTATGTTATCTCAAACTACAAACAGTCCTTGACTATTTGTTTTCTCCTTTCTCTCAGACCAACACTTTGTGGATAAATATAAACTCCAGCTCACCGACAGAGTGAGCCACATGGATCCCATTCTGGATCGGCTCCTCGATAGAGGTGTCCTCCAGCCTGAGGCTTACGATACAATCAGAGCTCTGCCGACCTCTCAGAAGAAGATGAGAGAGCTCTACTGCGGTTGCCTGAAAGCTGGTGCTGCTAGCAAAGATATCTTCTACCAAATCCTTCTGGAAAATGAGAAATTTCTCATTGACGACCTCAATACAAAGCACTAAATGTTGGGGTGAAATCTTTTTTAGACCAAAACCAGTTTTTAATACATGAATAATTGGGAAATATTCATTGCAATGTTATGTCTCTATGTGGGTTTCCTATTTGACTTTTGACCAGATTCAGCAAATATGATGATCATGCAAAAATAATGAACACAATTTATAATTGAAGAGCTCTCCTTTTTTAACCTCATTAATTGATGTGAATTAAAACCGAATTATATGAATTCTGCCAAATGCTAAAAGATTGTTTTTCCAAGTCTTTTTTTAAATACATTTCATAACACAGTCGGGGAATAGAGTACAGAGCTGAAATGTACCGTTGACTCGTCTCTACCTCATGAAAAGCTGGTGCCAGTTTCGCTAAGCCAGTCAGATGTGTGTTTCTTGCAAAGGGTGCACACCGTTCTGAATGTTTTACTAGATGTTCCCGGCATGTATATCTATTAACCCCATGAGTTTGGTGACGATACATTGGGTCGTTATGATTTTATGAATTATCAAAGTTAAATGACCATGTAATAATCCTAACTCGGCCTACGAAGCAGCTGATCAGTGTAGCTCCCAATCAACAGCGGGAACTAAAGACTCGCCGAAAGTTTGGTGGGATTCGGACCATGCTACGTCATGATATTAATTATAACTTTTTTACCCTACAAGGATACTGTTACATTTGGATGGTGTTTAAAAATGTCTGCTTCATTGAAACGTTTTCTAATCTTTAATAAAAACATTCAAATTTGTATGTGTGGTTTTAATATGTTGAGTGTGAAGTCTCTTTAAAATTGTAAAGTAAATACAGTGATGTAGAATTCACTCCTGTTTCGACTTTTACCTACAAGTAAAAAAATATATATATTTTCATCTAAATATTGATTGTTTCCGTATCTCTTCAGAGAAGTTCAAGTCCTTACAGTCATATTGTGGTAAAGTTGGATGTTGTAAGAAAGAAAATATTCAAATTTTAACTTTTTCAAATACAGTTTTAAAACTACAAACATGTATACAGTGGTATGTACACCAACTATGAATAACAAGATGTATTCGTTCATTCATGTGATGTAAGAGTACTGCACACGCATCTACCTTTCACATTTTTAACAGCTGTTATTTGTTTATAAGCGATCAGTAAACTGGAGGTTGGTTTTGAGGAGCAAAGGGGCTTTGTTAGATAAATAGAGACAAAGAAACACGTTTTACATTAATCATTATTTACATTAATAAAGTTTCATATAAGATCATTAATGATCTTCGTGTTTGGAAAAATGTTATGTGTTCTGATTTCCCTGTAATTTAGAACCTAATAAATCATTTTTAGTGTTCCTAGGACATTTTAAAGTATTTGTGTTTATAAAATACAGAGTTCATTATCGGATTATCAGTAATCCGATAATCCAATAATACCTGATGTCATCGTCACTAAAGTGGGATGGACCATAGACTGTAAACAGCAGGGATATCATAGCTCTTAAAACATATTTCCTCTCGCCTCTGCTTCATTTCCTTGCATCTCTCCGCGCATCTCTGGTTGGAGGGACTCAGAGGAGGAGGCAATTAATGGAACTGAGACGTATCCTACCCAAAAGCTACGCAGCACAGGGCTATCTTCGACTTCCTGGTAATAGATGAGCAAAAGGTAGACATGTGACTGGGCTTTAAACTTGTTCTTTTTTTAAGAGTTGATAATTACTAAAAACATTTTGACGCGTGGAAAGACAGAAACAAGGTGAGTATTATTTTATCAACGTCTGAACATAGAAACTTTATCAAGGCAAACAGTAACTGCTTCACGGTTCAGCTCATTAAGACTCTCTTGGGAATTTGTCGCTCAAACAGCGGACGTGAGTCAGTTTTCTACAGTTAGCCTACTTTCATCTTTGTTTTACTACTTCCTTTCCTCAAGTGGTATTCTGGTTTGTAAACAGTCGACTACTTTTACTGGGCTAAGTAACATCTAGAATGGAGTTTTAGACTGCAAATATTAAGGGTTTTATCTAAATGTCAAAATTATCAGCGTACATTGAACCAGGAAGCTGTGAGCTCGCACACACCTGCCGAACACACTCGCTTCGTTCTCTCTCTCCTCACTCGCTCCCCCCACCCACACACATGCGCACTGAGCCATTCACAGACAGACATACATACTCGTGTAACAGTGGTTATTTGTTTCCGTGCACACATGCCATTGCTGCTTACGGAGCTAAACCTACCGGTACTGTTTTTATTTGTGTGTGTGGGGCAAACATTATTTTTACAGTCTATGGTTTGAATCGGACCGAATGATGTCGTCACTTCCGCGACAGATTAGTCAAATTACAAATAATATGAAGTTAAATTGTCTAATAATTGTAGTTCTTTAAACTGATTACTATTCATAGTTTATTCTCAAAAATATCGATGAAACATACAGTAATTATTATAAAATATTTAAACAATGTAATCTGTCAGTCAAGTCATACTTTTTTTAATTAAATAAACTTACTTTATATATTTACATTTCACACAAAGATTTCTGTTTCATTTTTACTCATACATTTTGATATAGTGAACCCAAATACTCATCATAATGATGTTCAGTCATATTTTTCAAGCAATAATACCTTTATATTACTGTTACATTTACTAAGCCCTTGAAATATTTTTGAGAGCGAACCAAAGCTTAACCCAACCCAAACCAAAAATGATGAACAGGTGAAGCAGGCTCATCCAGACAACTTCTCACTGAGGTAAACTGGCAACTGGCCATGTAATGCTTGTAAGTCATGAATACGATTTACAAATGGATCTAGAGAAACCTGAAGGCCGCAGCCTTTGATGAATAACTACTGAGTGACCCATCAATACCAGTAAAAATGTTTCAAATGTGTTTTCTCTAATGAAAGAATACGAGATAATTAAAAAAAATATTTAATCAGAGTTTGTGAAGTTATTGATACAACTACATAATACTTAATTGAACTTAATCATTTTGTATTGATTTCATTTCAAACATGTAAATATCAATCGTTCTGTAAATGGCACTCGTCATATTCTGCATATTCTGTGATGTTGTCTTTGTTTTCCAGCTTGAAAAAATGACGACACGTAGGATGCTGTCTAAAACATTGGAACATTTGAATTCTGGGGAGCTTGAAGATTTCTGCCTACTTGTTGAATTGGAGAAAGGTGTCCCCCTCCTCTCAAAACTCGATCTAAAATCAATATGCCCAGAGAAAATAGAGGAGCTGATGGTGAAGAGATACAGCGAGGAGGAGTGTGTGAAGTTGACCAGAAATATCTTAAAGAAGATGAACAGGACTGCTCTCGTGAAGAGATTGCTTGGCGACAGACGGGAGCCCGAAGGTGAGACAAACACAAAGTCTTCACACAACACAATCAAGGCATTTTAAAAGTTCTATATTTCAATTAATGAGGAAAGCAAAACCGTCACTTTACAAAAAGAGCAGGTAAATATCTTACTCTTTGTTATATTATCTACAAAGGCCCAACATTAATCCATTACGAGCACCAAGAAACATTTACTGCTCTGTGTGCCTTTGAATTGTCTCCCGGGGATAAAATAAAGTTTTTTGAATTTAATTGAATTAGCAAATTTACAGTGGAAAGGAAAAAATCCTTTAAGAGCAGAAACCTCGAGCGGAACCAGACTCATGATGAACAGCCGTCTGCTGAATCTGTGTTGGGTTTGGAAAGTGGGAGGGAGGGAGATGCAGGAAGAGGGATAGAAATAAAATTGGTTTTCTTTTGCATTTATTTTTTCCTCAGAAGAACACTCTATGGATGAAGAGCCGCTTTCACTGACCCAGAGGGTGAGTATGTCACATCACTCTGACTTCACACAGCGTCACTATTATAGAGTCCACCTCGAACATTTCAATTAAAGGTAACAAAAACTAACGTTATTTATTTAATGCTGATAAAAAATATGATCCTTTAAGTAACATTAACCTGTTTTAATCAATATTTTCTCAAAGAGCTGATAAAGCAAAGTACACTGAATCAATAGCATTTATTTTCCCTTTATATCTCCACTAATCATATCTTCTTTAACTCCTTACATTTAAGTATCACATGTTATATGATGTTATATTCCTGAATATTTATTTATTTATTTTACTTTAAAAAAACATTAAAACATTTAAATATTCTATCTTTGAATCTGCATTGTTTTTAGCAGGCTAATGTTAGCACACTTTGGTTAACTCGTAGCTTCATACTGCACATAAATTGACAGAATGAAGGTGATCTAAAGACACTTAGGTGAAATCCACATAAGCAGTGAGTGTGTTGTTCTTCTTTTCTCTGAATAAACAGCATTTATTTCCCCTTTATATCTCCACTAATCATATCTTCTTTAACTCCTTACATTTAAGTATCACATGTTATATGATGTTATATTCCTGAATATTTATTTATTTATTTTACTTTAAAAAGAGATTAAAACATTTAAATCTTAGTTTATTTCTCTAAGCACTCAAAAGGAAGATCCAATTTAAAGGATGAATGTGCGACTTTCTTTATCCAGTAGATGTCGTCCTTGAGCACCAGCATTAAACCAAAACAAACTGCTGTTTGGAAACATCTCTGCCATTCTGAATCCTCTGCTCTCCTCCAGCAGCACACCTACGACACCTCTCCACTCGCCTCCCATGAAGGGGTTAGGAATTAGAACGCACCATAAAAAAAATTAATTAAATTCAAAAAACATTACTTGTCCCCGGGGGCAATTCAAAGCATTAACAACCACTAAGTGCAAGTGGCGGACAAACTTGTCCTTTGATCGAGCTGCACTTGCCTGTGGTCTGCATTGTTGTGTTAGCAGGCTAATGTTAGCACACTTTACTTAGCTCGTAGCTTCACATTAAACATAAATTGACACAGAATGACCGAGTTCTAAACACACTTACTTGAAATCCAAATAATCAGTGAGTAAATTCTTCTTCTTTTCTCTCGACCTCGACTTAAACAGCTTTATGCACAAGGCCGTCCCGTCCATGTAAACATGATGTAAACACAACCCTGACAACAACACAGCCAGCAGGACTCGAGCTTCTCACTCATTGCAGACAGTCACAACTCAAACAGACATTTACAGGATATACTTGATTTCTGCTGTATTTATGTGTAAAATGTCACACATTCTTCCTTAAAAGGCTTAATATGCAATTTTTCACACTTAAATGTAGCAGAAATCAATCCTCTGAAAATAACTCTGAGTCATGACTGTCTACAATGGGTGTAACACCCGAGTCCCGCTGTCTGTGATGTTTTCCGAGTCCTATCTTCAGTTTGTTTACATCGTCGGGACGGCCGGCCGACTCATCCCCTCGCGTATAAAAGTTGTTTAATTGAGGGACTAGAGAAAAGAAGAATAACATACTGTACTCACTGCTTAACTACGTTTCTAGATCACGTAGGTAAATTTACATGCAGTGTGAAGATACGATCATAATAAAAATCGCTAGCATTAGCATGCTAACACAACAATGCAGCGCAAGTTGTTTTGGTTTCATGCTGGTGCTCAAAGGCAACATCTGCTGGATCAAAAAAAATGGCATTTTCTGCCTTTAAAATACTAGCAAAATGAAATGTGTTACATTGACATACAAAGAAAGTGCACATACTACTATCAGCACAAAAAGATGATTTAAACATAGGTCCCTCCTGGGCTGGCCACCCCTTGCTCCGCCCCTTTAACAGACACTCTCTTGGAAGATTCATACAGTTATCTGATTTTCATTGCACAGATTTAGACACATGTACACCATGGAATTAGAATTAAACAAAAACTTAATAGAAAATCAAAGGTAGGGACGCAGTGGTTAGTGCGCGCGCCCCATGTATGGAGGCTTTGGTCCTCCAAGTGGGCGACCCAGGTTCAAATCCGACCTGTGGCTCCTTTCCCTCATTCCCCACTTTCTCTCTCTCCCTGATTTCTGACTCTATCCACTGTCCTGTCTATCTATTAAAGGTACAAAAAGCCCAAAAATAAATCTTAAAAAAGAAAATCAAAGGTAACAACCGTATGTTACTCAATGCAGAAATATAAGCTGTTTGTAAAAAAAGTAAAGTACTTGAATGTAAACATAACTATAGTATGATAACCTCTGTTCATGTGGCAGATGTACGTTGGTCAGTCTTAAAAAAGACAATTGATGAAATGTGAAAAGAAATATCTGTACTCATTTTTTGCACCTTCAACATGTTCTTTTAATTTTTCAGGTGGAAAAGATGACATCTGTTTTAGAACTGCTTGTGGAAATTATAGCTTGCCTAACAGAAAACCAGTATGAGATATTCAAGCAGTTGATCAGATATGAAGGCCACAAAACATATAAATCATACAACCCTCGTTTGCTGGGGCAGACAAACCATCAGGACACTGCGTGTGTTACAGTTTCGACTTTTGGTCAAAACTCTGTTGTGAAGACGATGAAGATTTTAAAGCAGATAAACAGAACTGATCTGGTGCAGAAGTTGTTGGAGACCAGCTCAAGTTTCAAAAGTATGACCATGAAGACCAAGATAATTTAAAATCATAAAACTGTCTCTAAACCTATTTCAGAAGTGTTTAAGTTACATCTGTATCTGTTACAAGATTCATAGTGCACAGATATTAAGACTTATCAGTTGGTTTACCAATATATCTTTTTGACTTATGTTGTACCTCACAAATCATTACTAAACTATTTGCCTGATAACATCTTTGTCATGTTTAAGATCAATCTCTCATGAGTTATTTTTTCCACTTTTTTCCTCAGAGAAACCCTCAGATGAACCACGCTCTGTCCTGTTGGAGAAAGTGAGTAATCACTTCACATCTGTCTGATTTACACATGAACATGAACATTTTGATGAAATATGATTACATTTGAATTAATCTGTTTTTCACAAAGCTGAAGCTTTATTCAGGTTGAGCGTTTTAGCAGTAATGTTGTGCAGCAGATTCATAAATATCTTTGACAGTGCTTATGAGATGAAATGTCAGCACATAATCTTTTTCTGACTTTTTCCTTCAACAATAATCAATATAATAAAAAGAATATCTGTCAGAAACACCCAGCTCAACACCTTAAGAGACACATTTAAAATTGTCCTAGTTGATTAAGCAAATGTCCCATGAGTGTGTTAACTATTCCAGGCAGCAACAATTGCAGCTGTTAAAGAGCTGCTTTTGGAAATCCTGCATTCTTTAAATGACGGGGAGCTCGAGGAATTCAAGTTTCTGCAGTTGGCCTTTCAAGAGGACTCCAAAGACATCCCACATTTATTGAGACACTCAAACGAGCGTACAGAAATATTGGAAGTGATGGTGCAGACCTACGGGCGACAGTCTGTGGATGAGACCAGAGAGATTTTAAAGAAGTTGCACAGATTTGATCTCATGCAGATGTTTTCAGAGACTAGCTCAGAACCCAAAGGTGAGACAAATAAGAACAAAACAAATCTTTAATAAATAAAATTAATACATTTGTTGAATTTGATTTCTTTAGGTTATGTTGTTGTTACCTTGTAAAGCAGCTGAACCTTATTAAAGTAGATCAACGTCTCATTAAAATAAGATAATCGTCGTAGTCACAAATGTCTTTTCTCCTCAGTGGATGAGCATCAACCTCCAGTCTTTGAAAAAGTGAGTCTGTTTTTTACATTTCACAGCCTGATTTGTCTGATGCAGATTAAAAAATATCCAAGTTTTTGAACATTGCAAATTATAATACATACCAAAACAAATGGCTATAATTGGTTGTAAAGTTCAGCTCTGTAGTATTTGAGTTCTGAGTTCTGTGTCATGGAGAAAGTATTCCGATAACTTCCCTACATCTCTGATTAAATCCCCAGAGATGTTCCTTTTTGATTTTACCATTGGAGAAATGACTAATTTGTTTATTGTCTTTGACATTTTTAGACGGTAAAGGAAGATGTGGAACATGTTCTTTCGGAAACATTGAGTGGTTTGAAACTTGAGGAGTTTGAGAAATTTAAGTGGGTGCTGCAGCTCACATACTTCCAGAGGAGTTTTACACGAATCCAGTGGCACGACATGGAGTGGGCAGCAACTCCAGATGAACTGGTGTATCTGATGGTGAGGAACCAGCAGCCTGTGGAGGTGACCAAAGAGGTTTTATTGGACATGAACAGGACTGATCTAGTTGAGAGGCTGATGGGGACAGACTCAGGACTTCAAGGTGAGAGAAAGAAAACAAACACTGCCACATTACACACATTTATGTTTAAAGATATTTGATATTTCACAATTACAACAAAAGTAACGAGATCACAAATAAATTATTTTGTTTACACAAGATAACAAACCTGTTTTATACCAGTGGGTTAATTATTCCAATCATATAAAAGTGGCGGAGTTAGCTTAATTTAACCAATCACAATCATCACTGCGTCTGCCGTCAGCAGATCGTTATATCCAACAAACTCTGAACTAAATTAAAAATAAGAAGAAGTTCAAGACAAATGTAAAATTATACGGGACACATGAAGTGTTGGTCGGTCTCTCTCCTCCTCCGCTCTCTCGATCAGCTGCGGGAGCTCCAAGATCAAGAGATCTGACTGTTCAGTGGCGGAGATTTTTAGGTGTGCAGCAGGTTAGATGTGCAGCATAGGTTACCGTGGTGATATACCCAGGTTAGAAGTGAACCACCTTCGTAGGACTGAAAACCCAGGGTTAACCATGTTGTTACCTCGCTAACCCCAAATCCTGCTTCGTAGTACAGACCTCTGGACTTTTCAGTTTAATGCCAGATTTATTCGTCTGCGTCTGCTAAATGAAATTGTAACATTGTAACATTAGCACTGACCTTTGTTATGTCAAATAATAAAATATTGTATTTCTGATCTGAGGCTGACGTCAAGCATGGCCCTTTAAGGTTTGTGAAGATTTATTAACTTTTTATTTTTTATTTCTCTTCAGAGAAACATCAGCCTAAACTGCGTCATCAAGTGAGTAAAGTAAAATCAGAAACACATTAAACAACAAGGTTTCCATTTATTTCATTTTATTGTTACATGAACATAATTATTCTCATCTTGATAGTAAAGTGGTGGAAAAGGTTTTCAGCTGCAGATGGTAAAGAAGGAGGACAATAAAAGTACCATGTTGTGATGATGTTACAAAAAGAACACACTTAAGAATACTTTGTTTTTATAGAAATTGTTGGAGCCAAAATGTGGGTTTATGTTTTGCCCTTTAGTTTTCCTTTGGGTATGTGTGTGTGTGTAATCCCTTTACTGGACACCGTGTGGAGCCTGAGCTGATTCTGTGCTCCAGGTGATGGTAGCAGGTGAATGAATAGTTTTCAACCCTGGCAGCCTGTCAGAGGTGAGCCTGATTTTATTTAATATACCAGATTTCTCTATCATTTAGCATATGGATGCAGTGGGACATCGTTTCATCCTTAGAGCTGAGCATGAATCCTAAATATCTTCCACATTCATCCCTCAAGTGACTTTTTAGACAATATTGTATTGGTTAAAATTGGTCACTCCAGTAAACTTCAAATCTGAAATCATCATGGTGTCACTGTGACTAATGTGCTTGATTTTTATTGTTACAATAAGCTGTTGAGGTTGTGCTTTGCCTGTCAGCACCTGTGTGTCTGATCAGACTTAAAGCTGTTTGTTTGCTCTTACTGACATTGTTTCCTTTTTTATAGATCCTTGTTTGTGTTTTACTTACTCTCTGATGTATGTTGCTTGAGACAAATGCATATGCTAAGTGAATTGTAGAAATGCAGAGAAATAATAATAATAATTGAAAAAGAGTGAATACTGATTCTGATGGGTTTGTGTAAATCACTGTGGAGAGTCAGTTATAACTGTGGTGAGGTGGTTGAAGAAAGGGTTAATCATCTGGGTTTTAGGTTCCATTTAATCTGAATGATAGGAATCTATGAATTCTGGATTTGTGGAATTGTCTGTCTGGCTACACATTCAAATATTAGAAATGCTAAATACACACATCAGCTTTCTTACACCATGCTGTCTAAAGGAACATAAACAATATGCATTTAGCTTTCAAATATATCAAAGAATGCTAACAAATTAAAAGTATTTCCAGTAATGCTAACAGAAAGAAAAGTATGAAATAAACACAGAAAGAACTTCTATTATTGAAGCACAATCTCCAGCTCTCACCAAAACATAAATTTTACTTATTGACTGCAAAACTTACAATAATACTTTATTTGTATGGCACATTTCAATACAGGTAACAAAATGCTTTACGACAGACAATAAAAGCAAACCGAATATAAAAGCAGCAGACAGGCAGTAAGACAAACAGACAATAAAAGCAGACTCATAGAATAAAAGATTAAAATTCAAAATGAAACCACAGATTAAAAGCTTTTTTGTAAAACAATGTCTTAAGTAGAGAATTAAAACGAAGGACTGACTCTGCATGTCTGATCTCCTCTGGCAGGCTGTTCCAAAGTCTGGGGGCTCTGTCAACAAAAGCCCTGTCCCCTTTAGTTTTCAGCCTGGACCTTGGAACAGCCAGCGGAGATCTGCCAGAGGATCTCAGACTGAGTCCTGGTTCATAAGGGGTTAAAAGCTCAGAAATGTAGATGTGACAATACTGTCATAACTTAATGTTGATGCCAGTGAACTAAAGTTTTGTCTACAGTTGAGATGAAGCACATAAACGCTCTCTGATTATGTTGACTCCATCAGAAATCCACAAGATCACTTCATTGGACACTTCGGCAAACATTGAGAGGCTTAAGCTATGAAGACCAAGAACAATTCAAGCAACACCTGCTGCATATCGCCCAAGAAAAAGGCCTCCCAGCCCCAGAACGACAAGTGAAGAAGGCAGGCAGAGATGATATAGTGATGCTGATGGTGACATCTATGGCCAACAGTCTGTTGAGCTGACCAAAGACGTTTTACAGAGAATGAACAAGACTGATCTGCTAGAGACGCTCTCAGGGACCAGCTCAGGATTCAACACTGAGAGTAAGAGATGAAAACTGACACATTAACAATATATATGCTTCATTAATACTACGACTACAGACATTGTTGAGCTGAATCAAGCCTCCTTGTTTTTGTGACGTTAATAATGAGTACATTTAAGTTTAACTTTTTGCCAAATACCGCACATCCAACCCACATAAGTTGTACATTTTTTATTTATTTTTAAGATGTTGAGATGGTGCCATGTTATATTTTATTCACAAAACGACTAAAACTGACTAAAGCTGCTTTTTGTCTGATTTGATTGAGTCCGTTCTCTCCCCCCTTAGAGAAACTTCAGCAAAAAGATCCACAACATGTGAGTAATGTTACATCAGACACTCGACAGTTTTCATTTCTAACTATTTAATTAACAATATTTACTTACTTTTTTGATGAAGCAGGAATCAACCATGACATCGGTCCATTCACAGCTTTTAGAAACACTGGAAGAATTAGGTTCAGGGACCTGGAGAAATTCAAAATGTTCTTGCTCTACACTAAAATGAAAGAAGGGCTCCCAAAAATCCAAAGGACCAAGTGGAGACTGCAGACAAAGATGAGATAGTGAAGCTGATGGTGGAGATCTATGGCCAACGCTGTGTGGAGGTGACTAAGGATATTTTAGAGAGGATGAACAGGACTGATCTGGTCGGAAAGTTGTCAGAAAGCAGCTCAGTATCTAAAGGTAAGTTTAAAAAAAAAAAAGTGTTATTTGACTATAAACATTAGGTGTACAGAACCTGGACTGCATTTTTAAACCTCCATCTTTTTTTTGTTTTATAATGCTTCTGTGACGCTGATCAGCAGGGGAGGAGGCAACATGTTTTAGGCTTTTCTGTCCATTTGTTTGTTGAATGTCCCATGTTTTTAGCTAGAGTGTCTGGAGTAAATATCTTTAAAGTTTGCACAAACACCACTAGGATAAAGCAATAGTGTGATCAAAGGTAAGGGTCACTCACCTCACATCAGTCCCATTCTCTGACAGCAAATCAGCAATGGATAAAAGGGATTATGATGGGATGGTTTTTTTAAAAAAAAGTCTGATAGAACATCATGCGTACAAATTCTCAAAATGTAGGTCCAAAGTTTTGAACACACTACCCTTTTCTTCATGTTTTTTTTTCTCCAGCTGTTAGAAGGGTTTAATGACATTCACATGCTCTGCAGACAAACACAGATAAAAGAGAAGTTCTCTGCTAATTATAGTTCTATTGACCCTCTACTGTAAGCCTTCTTATGCTGCACTATGTTTTGATATACAATCACTGCCCAGCAACAGTTACACTGTCACATTTTGGAAAACACTGATTGATTTAAACAGTAACTTGACTGGTTGACATAGTGTAAATTAAGTTGTATTTTCTTAATTCAAGTTATTGATAATTGTATATCCATCCAGATAAGCTGCACAATGTCTTGCAACACTATAGCTCCCGAAGATAAACTTCAGGGTATAGCGTATAACCATGACTGGTCTAGGGCAGTAGATCTACAAACAATACTTTATTGTCCCCAGGGGGAAATTTGATATCACCGCTTTGGACGGTTGGGAGCTATACATGAAGAGAACATATAACAGTAAGTAGAAACATATAGAAGTAGTAGAACATATAACACAGGTAGGAAACACATAAGAAGAAGGGGTCAGTCAGCGTGGAAGCTTGTTTAGAGCTCTTTTTGAAGCGTGCCCTCTTCCAGGTCAGTGTTCTATAACCCGACGACGACGCAGAAAATAAGAGATACATGTAAGAGATGTAAAGTTACTATTCGATAATATATGTCTGAGTAACATACTTTAAAGAAACCTTTGTGTCTTTCCAAGGGCCTTTTGGTTGTGTGTGAGCCTGACGACTGTGGACAGAAATGGTAATCCCATCCATCATTCATTTGTTCCGTTTCTTTTAATTCAGTATTTATTTTATTTATTCATTCATTGTTGCCAATAAAAATGATTGTCTCTGTCAGCCGGACTCTGGTCACTGGACCAAACTTGATCCTGAAGTGAACAGTACTGATGGAGATGAGTCTCCTACATACAGGTACAAATATCTTCTTTAATACTGACAACAGCAAATAAGATTTTTTT